TATCCATCCCCCATGCACGAGTCCATCCACCACACACACGTCCATCCCCACACACGTGTCCATCCCCACACACGCATCCATCCCCCACACACGAGTCCATTCCCCACACATGCATCCATCCCCACACACGTGTCCATCCCCCACACACGCGTCCATCCCCACACACCTGTCCATCCCCCACACATGTGTCCATCCCCCATGCACAAGTCCATCCACCACACACATGTGGGTCATCAGCGTCTTTGCCTCAGTGTAGAAGGATTTATCTCACTACCTCAGTTCTCAGCATTCGTATACTTCCTTCCTCCTTCCCAGCCTAAAATTTTACATGAAAGTCTGTATTAAACATATCAATTCAAAGCAAAGGTAGCACACAGAAAGGCGGAGGTGACACTTGTCTCAGTAGCGAAATAGACACTTTGGTAAACTAGTGTACTGATCAGTGAAGTTAGGAGAGGAGCAGTGAGGTCAGAAAATCTCAATGTGAGGGTACAAGTCTGCTGCCCTGTAAGAAGGACACTGGCGTTCTTTCCCTGCTCCCACGTGAGAACAGGATTGCACAGATTAAAATAAAAATAGAAAGATAGCATTGTATCAGCAACCAAAAAAGAAAGTACCTATCAATATAGCTTTAACAAGAGCTTTCATGTTCTTTCTTTTTCTAATATAATTTTGTAATTCTTTTTTATATAGGAGTATAATTGATTTTCTATAGTTATTTTGAAGTTAGCTACATTGCTGAATTTTTCTATTGTTTTTGGTAACTTGCAAGTAACTTGGTAACTCAGAAGTAATGCAATTTGTATTTTTTTTACAAACCATTGGGATTTTTAAGTTATCATAATTGTACTAGCTAGAATCTTCAAGTTTACCAGGAGTGGTGGTAATAAGTACACTTATCTCATAATTGATTTTTGTAGATAATGCTTTTGTATCCTCATAAAATTGATATATTTGTCCCAATGTTATCTTCAATGATTATGTCAGTGTTTTGCCTATAGTTGATGTTCTATAAATATTCATGGAATAAAGGAGCCTGAAATTAAAAAAAAAAAGAAAAACAAAGTAAAATGGGTAAAAAAAGAAAGTGAGGAAGGAGGATGGTGGCTGAGGCAGAAATTCCGCCGTTGTCCCTGGAATCTAGAGGCTGCCTGTGGTCTCTGCTTTTATTCCTAGCATGCAACAAAGACACTTACGTGGGCCTAGACATGAAGGGTGTGAATTACAACAGCTCTATTGTCCAGAACGTTCAGGAATGCCAGGAGAGATGCACAAATGACATCCACTGTCACTTTTTTACATATGCAACAAGGCAGTTTCCCAGCGAGGAGCATCGGTGAGTTGAGCCCCGTGACATCAGAGTAGCCAACAGAAAGCAAAGGGATGACTCGGTAAAATTATTTTGCATCAATATGATGCCAAAATTTCTTTTAACACCTAAAAGACATTTCTATAACAAAACTGGCAGTTTTCTTTATGAAAGAGTACATTTAAACCCCAATTTGGATGCATTTCATTAGTGGTGAGGAGTTTGTCTTTTAATGACACTGTTAGAAAAAATACACACCCTTAACTGGAGTCCTAGATAATCATAAAAGATTATTTATTTATTTGAAACAGAGTCTCATTCTGTGCCCTGGGTAGAGTGTTGTGGCATTATCACAGCTCACAGCAACCTCCAATACCGAGGCTCAAGTGATCCTCCCGTCTCAGCCTCCCAAGTAGCTGGGACTATAGGCACCCACCACCATGCTTGGCTAGTTTTTCTATTTTTAGTAGAGATGGGGTCTCATTCTCACTCAAACTGCTGAGTCCAGGGAATCCTCCTGCCTCAGCCTTCTAGAGTGCTGGGATTACAGGTGTGAGCCACTGTACCTGACATAATATTTGAGTTTTAACCTTCGATTTCAATATTCTGTTCTGCACATTCATAAAAAGGAGGTAAGTAGAAATCAAACAAAGCATCAAGGATTTATTTCAAAAACAACAATGATGAAAAACCCCACAACTCCCCCCCCATTAGTCATTAGTCTTGTGTGACTGACTTAAGCTTGGCTCAGATGACATCTTTTATGTGTAAGACTCAACACAACGCAGCCAGGTGTGCTGGCTCATGCCTATAATCCCAGAACTCTGGAAGCCAAGGTGGGAGGACTGCTTGAGCAGGAGTTCAAGACCAGCCTGAGCAAGAACAAGACCCTGTCTCTACTAGAAATTAAAAACAGAGTCAGACATGGTAGTGGTGGGCGGCTATCCTCCCAGCTACTTGGGAGGCTGAGGCAGGAGTTAGAGGCTGCCATGAGCTAAGATGACACCACTGCACTCTACCCAGGGTGACAGAAAAAAGATTTTGTCTTAAAAAAAAAAAAAGTGAAAAAATAATTCCCTTTAAGCTTACAATACGAACCACAAGCCAAAAAAAAAGGAGGTTATATAAAACAGTTGAAGCAATAAGTAGAGAGGGCTCCTGCCCTTCCCATCCCGCCCACCTCAAGATGTCATTTTACTGATGAAGAAATAAAGTCGATGAAGGGCACAGAAGCACCAGGGGCCCAGTGGGGTGCTGGGGCCGCTCAGCCTCTTCCTTCCCGGGATCGCTGCATCTTCTCTCTCCAAACGGCACTTTCTTATCTCCTGGTCTTCCTCCTGCAGCGGGAGAGTGATGCGTTTCCTTTTTCACCTTACACAGTAACGTCTGTCTGCTGAAGTCCAGCGAAACAGGGACGCCGGCCAGAATAAGGAAGCTCAGTAAAGTGGTGTCTGGGTTTTCACTGAAGTCCTGTGCCCTTTCCACGCTGGGTAACTATCGTTTCCTTAATGTGGCAGTTTAACTACTAATTACATACGATGCCAGCGACCCCAGTGGCAGCTCGTGGTCACTCGGGAAGCACCCAGATATCTCTTCCCCACTTTGTGTGATGGATTTCACTATGTCCTACATAGGTGGAACTTGTATCTAAATTTTGAGTTCAAAATAACCTGTTCTTTTTTCCTAAGTTAAAAAAAATTTAAAAGATGTTGGGATAAACTTTAATTTTGCAGATGGAATTTATTAAATACTGTGACGGGAATTCCCGTGATTCCGCTGACGCTGTGTCTCTGTCCCCAGCTTGTATCCGGGACATCTTCCCTGGCACCGTGTTTGGGGACCGCAGCATCGGCAGCGTGCTGGCTCCAGACGCTTTTGTGTGTCGCCGCATTTGTACTCATCATCCCAATTGTTTGTTCTTCACCTTCTTTTCCCAAGAATGGCCGAAAGAATCTCAAAGGTGAGACGCTGTGGCCAAGGGTAATTTACTATCTTTTCAAAACCGATGGTCAAAATCCATTGTTAAAGATTCTGGCCCAGAGCAGTGGCTCACACCATGTAACCTTAGCTTGCCAGGAGGCCGAAGTGGGAGGACTCCTTGAGCTCAAGAATTTGAGACTAGCTTGAGCAAGAGTGAGACCCAGTCTCTGCTAAAACTAGAAAAACTAGCCGGGCATGGTGGCAAGTGCCTGTAGTCCCAGCTACTTGGGAGGCTGAGGCAGGAGGATCACTTGAGCCTGAGAGTTTGAGGTTGCTGTGAGCTACAATGACACGATGGCATTCTACTGAGGACAACAGAGTGAGACTCTGTCTCAAAAGAAAAGTAAGGGGCAGCACCTGTGGCTCAAAAGGGTAGGGCACCAGATCCATATGCCAGAGGTGGCAGGTTCAAACCCAGCCCTGGCCAAAAAAAAAAAAGGAAGAAGAAGATTCTGAGTAACTAAAATTTAATCCGAATGTCTATATAGGATAAAAATTGAGAGAATTCCTAGCTCCTCTCCCTACTTATCTCCACAGAGAGACTACAAATCCAGTGTTCCTGAAGTTTCCTGTTTTTCTTTAGCTTAGGGAGGTCTCTGCCTTCTGTAGGGGAGAGTTGTCTGGTTCTAAGTGGAATGAAGAGAATAAGAATGGCCATTAGGAGGCAACTCTGTCCAATGCCCTGTTTAAGATCATTGAACCAAGAGCAGAAGGAGCTGGAAATTTAAGTTTAGGAATTAAAGAAGTGGGTGGTAGCTCATGCCTGTAATCCCAGCACTCTGGGAGGTCAAGGCAGGAGGATCACTTGAATTCAGAAGTTTAAGACCAGCCTGAGCAAGAGCAAGACCCCATCTCTACTAAACTAGAAAAACTAGCCAGGTGTGGTGGCAGGTGCCTGTAGTCCCAGCTATTCGGGTGGCTGAGGCAGGAGGATAGCTTGAGCTCAGGAGTTTGAGGTTGCTGTGAGCTGTGATGATGCCATGGCACTCTACCCAGGGTGACAGAGTAAAACTGTCTCAAAAAATAAAATAAGATAATAATAATAAATTCATAAATTAGAAAGATGCCTTTTTAATTTGCGATTTTGTGTAATCCCTGCCCTTTTTCTCTGTTTATTCCCTTTTATAATTACCAATCAGTACCTATAAGAAGGGTAACACATTTGATCTTTAATACAGAGCGTGCTTGCAACATGACTGCTACAAGCCAAAACTCAGCTATTTACATTAAAAATTAATTAAAACTAAATGAAACTAAAAATTTATGTCCTTGGCTGCATTAATCACATTTTAAGCCTACAACAGTCACATGTGGCTGTGCTGTTGGATGGCACAGATATAGAACATTTTCATCATTCTAGGATGTTCTTTCAGGCAGCTTTGCTTTAAAGTGTGATTTTGTGCTACTTAGGAAAATTCACTCCCTTCCAGAAGGTGCTGTCTGGGTGTGGAGTTGCAGTGAATCTCACTTTCCTCCTTATAACTCTAGACAGGAGATTTTTAGGTAGCATGAAAATGCTTGAATCCTTGAGATAGATAGACTGGGGGTGTTCACAGGAAGAAAATAAAAAGGGAACATACTGGGAACTTGGTGGTAAAGCAAACTGAGAAATTTTTTTTTTTTTTTTGGCCAGGGCTGAGTTTGACCCTACCACCTCTGGGATATGGGGCCAGCACCCTACTACTTGAGCCACAGGTGCTGCCCAAACTGAGAAAATTTTTACAGAGCCAAGTGGTTTACTTTTGAAAGTTTGTCTATACCAGCAGTTCTCAACTCGTGGATCTTGACCCCTTTGGGGGTCGAATGACCCTTTCACAGGGGTCACCTAAGACCATCCTGCATATCAGATATTTACATATCAGATATTTGTTACGATTCATAACAGTAGCAAAATTACAGTTATGAAGTAGCAATGAAAATAATGTTATGGTTGGGGGTCACCACAACAGGAGGAACTGTATTAAAGGGTCACAGCATTAGGAAGCATTAGGAAGGTTGAGAACCACTGGTCTACACCCATGGATCGTGGTGTGACTCAGTGACTCCTGAAGTGAATTTCTTTCAAAATGGGATGATCGTCACTGCTGAGTACCAAGATGAACTGATGGTAAAAAGTGTTTTTTTTTTTTCCCTTTGACATGTCTGGTATAATATATTTATATTTCTCCCTCTTTTTTGGTTAGAAATCTTTGCCTCCTTAAAACCTCTGAGAGTGGATTGCCAAGTGCACGCTTTAAAAAGAGCAAAGCTCTTTCTGGTTTCAGCCTGCAGCACTGCAGACACAGCGTTCCAGGTGAGTAGAGAGGGTTCATTCTGCATGAGACCAGCAGACCCTGAGGAGTGCTGAGGCCTCGTCTCCTCTGACTCCTGACCTGCCGTCTAGTTTTCTGCCATTCTTCATTTTACCATGACACCGATTTCTTGGGAGAAGAACTGGACATCCTCGATGCTAAAGGTCACGAAGCCTGCCAGAAAATGTGCACCAACGCCATCCGCTGCCAATTTTTTACCTATTCTCCATCTCAAGGATCTTGCCACGAAGGGAAGTAAGGCGTAGTGAGCGTTCCGTAGATGCCTTTGTCTAACTTGTGAGGGGCATTATGTTTATACCATTTTGTTTCCAACTGCAGGGGCAAATGTTACTTGAAGCTTTCTTCCAATGGATCCCCAACGAAAATACTTCATGGGAGTGGAGGCATCTCTGGGTATACCCTGAGGTTATGTAAAATGGATAATGGTGAGTAGAATGTTACATGTAGGACAGACATGGAAGGAGGCATCCTGTACTGGATATGTTGTAACTAAGAGTGACCATAATAGCACAGAGGGGTGAAAATCAAGAAATCAACAAATTTAGCAATGGTCTAAATTTTCTATGTGTGTGCCTGTCACCCAAGCTGACCATGTTTTAAAGGTAAATATTGGGTCTTGACTAAACTCTACATTGCCTGCTACTAATTGGATATGTGTTCTAATTTGACACATCTATACAACTGGCATTTCATGGCGACACCCAGACTGAGCCAACCCTCTTGTTATCAACAACAAGGATCTTTCTTTCTTTCTTTCTTTTTTTTTTTTTGCAGTTTTTGGCCGGGGCTGGGTTTGAACCCACCACCTCCGGCATATGGGTCCAGCACCCTACCTATTCCTTTGAGCCACAGGCGCTGCACAAGGATCTTTCTTACTGTTCCTTATAATCAAAATGTCACACAACACTTGGTTTGTCAAATTACCATTTTTCTGCTCATTGGCTGATTTTTAAGTAAAACATAAATATGATCATATGTTTGAAAAATTATGTATCTGGCAGGGCTGAGGTGGGAGGATCCTTTGAGCTCAGGAGTTTGAGAGCAGCCTGAGCAAGAACAAGACCCCTGTCTCTAAAAAGAAAGAAAATTGATGTATCTATTCCAGAAATATTGGAGTACCCTCAAGGGTCTTCATTCTTTTAGATTCCCTGCAAGAGTTCTGTAAACTTAGAGATTTTGGGAAAAGTTAAGGTAGAACTTTACTAATTTGTAACAAGTATGGTAGGGTGGAAATAAAAAAAAAAATTGTCTAGTGTCGTGACCCCTAATGCCCTGTCCCCGTTGCATCGCAGCAGGAAACAGGAGTGACACGGATTAGAAGTACCAGTTTGCAAGAGATGGGTTAACCTTAAGTGCAGGGTAGCCCCAAGCAACCTCTGCAGTAGCTATTTATTATTGAGACAGTAGACAGGTGAGGAGAATATTAGACAATCCATGCTTAAGGATTGCCACGGGCTGGGGCTCCCTCTCCACAGCTCCAGAGGATGATTAAGCTTTAACACCTGTGGAATGTACTCGTCGCCTCAGAGTCTACCCCTAAGCTGCAAATCATCTTATTCAGAGGCCATCAGCTACTCCCCCACCACCACCTTGTGTATTCAAAGACATTTCTGGATAGGCAAGGGAGAAAATTTGTTGTTGATTATTTCAGCCGCTCTCCTCACTGAGCTTTCCTTCCCACTAAGCAAAGAAGCAAAAGGGCCTGTGAGTTAACAGAATTACACCAGCAGAACTAACCTGGGTTAAGAAAGAATTCCAGTTTTTGTGATTGTGTTACCTGAGCCAGAGTAGGCATAGAGGAAGACATGCCCCCCCCCCTTTGTGCTAATCACCACCCAATTACGTGCCTTGGGCTGACCCTCAGGGTCGCTGACGCTTCCATAGGAAGTATTAACCAACACCTGAAGTTATTTGTCCATAGCCCCCATCTCAAATGGATGGATAGCAACAAGCATAGAATGTTAGGTGGGGAAGGGCTGTACCAATGAACTCAGACCCTTTCTAAGCTGAAGTCTGGGGAGCAGAATGATTTTAAGACGGGAATGGGTGGAAGGTAAAGATCAGGTGAAAACCCCACACTGTACCCCAGAGGTGCATTAATGTACATAGTTACCATTCAATAAAAAAAAAAAAAAGATCAGGTGTCCAACTGCAACAGATACAAGTCCAACAAGTAAAATTCTCTCACCTTTGCTGACACCAGTGTAACCATAACCAGGAACAAAAAGTCTGTTATTCAAGGTCTTCGTTGTTTGTGACCTCAATAGAGCTCAGAGGACAGGTTCTGAGCTTACCTGGGGCTTCCTATTCAGCCCAGAATGATGGAACCCTGCAGTCTAGATTATAAAAGACCTATAATGACATAGAGTTACAATAAGAATCAGATCAGCAATGTTTCCATCCCAGGGGCCACTTTCTGCGCATAGTAGCAAGAAATGTTTTGTAGGCAAAGAGAATAGTTCTAAGGAAATGTTTTGTAGGCAAAGAGAATAGTTCTAAGGAAATGTTTTGTAGGCAAAGGGAATAGTTCTAAGGAAATGTTTTGTAGGCAAAGAGAATAGTTCTAAGGGACAGAACCACAGTAGGAGAACCTACCATGAATTCAACTCCCGGAATTACCATATAACTTTACTATTACTGATTTTCATAAAGCTACATGAAACAAACAGTTCTTAGACTGTTCATTGCTAAATGTCCAATAGCATGATGTGATGGACATCATGCTAAGATTGAATGAATCAAAGGGAAGTCATGATCATACTAGACACAGAAAATTTCAGCATTTTCTTTAAACTGAGAAACATAAGAGAATAAATTATAAGAGCTTTGACCTATACCCACATGAGGACTTTAAGTTATTGATAACATACTTTAGCTAACAGTTATCTAGTAATTTCCTTCAACGTTGCCTTCATGCCGACTTCTCAGTTGGAAAACTATAAGAATTTCCCAGAAATTCTAGAACATGGGTAAAATCTTCAAAAGGACCTTCTGAAACTAATGTCCACTCTTGAATGAGAATGCATTCCCATTCCCACACTGTCTGGGTCCTTGGCGGATGGGGGCTGGGCTCCAACCTGGGAGTAGAGAGGGGACTGTTGTCCAGTCCAGGGCAGCCAAGAGGAGAAAGAACCAGAGGGATGACTCTGAGCCAAAGTCCTTGGCAAGCAACAAGGTTGGCCAAGAGACCCTCACATTGTCAGCAGGGCCGAAGGTGGAAGAGGCTCACAAACAGGTGTGTCCTGGTTTGGACATGGACAGGACAGGAGTGCCTGGGAGCCAAGCTTGGCCTGAGTCAGGGGAAAAGGGGAAAATTAGGCAAAAGCAGCCACTGAGTGAAAGGAGCCCCCTTTCCTTCCTAGCAGAGTCCCCATACTTAAGCAAGGCTCCCGTGGGACTTTCTCACTCCCTGGCTCTGAGGTGGGGCTTGAGAAGTTGCATTTCAAGGCCATGTGCCTCATGCCTATAATCCCAAGACTCTGGGACAGTGGTTCTTAACCTTCCCAATGCCACAACCCTTTAATATAGTTCCTGTGGGTTGCGACCCACAGGTTGAGAACTGCGGGTCTGGGAGGCCGTGGCAGGTGGATCACTTGAGCTCAGGAGTTCAAGACCAGCATGATCAACAATGAGAGCCTGTCTCTACTAAAAATAGAAAAACTAGTGGAGCATGATGGTGAGTGCCTGTAGTCCTGCCTACTCAGGAGGCTGAGGCAGGAGGATCACTCAAGCCCAGGAGTTGGAGGTTGCTGTGAGCTATGACACCATGGCACTCTACCCAGAGCCACAAAGTGAGACTCTGTCTCAAACAAACAAACACACAAAAAATTTGCATTTCTACCACATTCCCAGGGGATGCTTGTAGGTCTGGGGACCACTCTTGACACCCACCGCTTTAAAAGAACCATCAGTGTTATATTTTAGAGGAGGATCAGAGGCCTGGTAGGACCACCCAAGGAGGGCAGTGGTCTCTGCACATGTAATTATAAGGTGACTTAGTCACTGCCATTTCCAGGCACAGGTTTTGCTTTGCCAGTGTGACCATAAAATCTCCAGAGCTCAGGGTCATGGTAAACTCTTGGACTGAAGGGAGGTTTTCTTCTTTTGGCTCTGGAAGGAGCTTACTCACGGATGATAAAGGAGATGTTGGAAGCTATTCACTGCCATCTCTCCGCTGTAGCGTGTACAACCAAAATCAAGCCCCGGGTCGTTGGGGGAACCACGTCTGCTCATGGAGAGTGGCCATGGCAGGTAGCACTGCATGTCACGTCGCCCACCCAGAGGCACCTGTGCGGGGGCTCCATCATTGGGAACCAGTGGATACTAACAGCCGCTCACTGTCTGTACGGGTCAGTACTAGTCCACCATCCTCACATGTGCATGTGGTCTGTTCCTAGTACACCAGTGTAATTCATTTATTTCTTTAGTGGAGGAGGCGGGAGGAAGAGGCACTCATGGTCTCCCAGCATCACAGCAAGTGCAGGGACATGGTGTCTGATCATGTGCTGTCCCACTGTCCAGTCGCAGCGGGTTCCCACCCTGAGAGGCTTTCTGGTTATTATGTGCCAAGCATGCCACCTTCTGTGCCTTGTTCTGCACGTTAGGCCCAGAACTTAACTCACAGAGAATTTCCCATTCTCTGAGCCCAATAGCCCCTGGACTCCCTCTCTCTCTATGTAAATATAGAAAGCGTTCATTATGTACCCTCAAATTGAATTTGCCACTTGGATCGCTTTCAATGTTGGTCAAAAGTAAAGGCTGTAGGCTGGGCATGGTGGCTCAGTCTGGGAGACCGAGGCAGGAGGATAGAGTTCAGGAGTTCAAGACCAGCTTGAGCAAGAGCAAGACCCCATCTCTACCAAAAATAGAAAAACTGCCCCTGCATGGTGGCAGGTGCCTGTAGTCCCAGCTACTCAGGAGGCTGAGGCAGGAGGATCACTTGAGGAGTTTGAGGTTGCTGTGAGCTATGATGACGCTGTGGCACTCTACCCAGGGTGACAGAGTGAGAGTCTGTGCCCTCCCCTGCAAAAGTAAAGACTCCACTGGGGGAATGTACGTGTCCCCAGGGGGTTTAGTTGGCCAGACTTCCCCACTTCCAGGTCCATATCCTTTGAGTTGTTTCCAGATAGAGCTTTGTGTGTTTCAGTTTGTGTTTTCTAACCTTATGCAGCACCCTCCTAACTTGGGGATACATCTGAGATCAATAGTTCCCTTCACCTTTTACACTTGGGAAAACAAAGTACCAGGAGGTCGAGATGGATTTCTCAGACACAGCTAGTTGCTGGCAGGGTTGGGAGGTTGGGAGTAGACCCAGTACCCTTCGAGTGTGTGTCAGAGAGTGAAAGGTGCATTCACTCACTTTTTGTGCTTAATATAAATACTAGCTTAGCATCTTCTTTATAGGACAAATGTGTGACCGAAAAAGTCTTAGAATGAAATCACTTTTTCCACCTAAAAGTTCTCTCCATTGGCAGAAAATATTAGTAATAGCCCATTAAATAGCCACACAGCTCAAACTGTTTGGGAATTACTTGGTAAAGGGAATTTCCTTCCCTCTGTTGTTTGTTCCTTAGGCTGGAGTCACCTAAACTTTTGCGTGTGTACAGTGGCATTTTAAATCAATCGGAAATAAAAGAGGACACACTTTTCTTTGGGGTTCAAGAAATAATAATTCATGACCAATATAAAATGGCAGAAAGTGGGTATGATATCGCCTTGTTGAAACTGGAAACAAGAATGAATTACACAGGTATGTAGAGTTGTAATTGGAAAGTCACTTGTGATGGTGACCTAGAAGAAAACATTTACCACCTGATTCATGGCCTGACCCTACCAGTCTCTTCCCAGTGTCACCATGAAAGGGGGACAGGCTGGGGGTTCTAGTGCCATCTGTTAAGGCTGAGAAGGTGGGTGAAGAGATAAGTTTCCTTCAGGCTTCTTCAGTTGCATAGGAATGACATAATTTTACAGTCTTTTGCAGAGGTGAAGATAATTTAGTCTGATATCTCCCTTTCAGGGACAGAAGACCTTAAGGTCACAGCGATTGAGACCTTGCACAGAATACCCCACTTAGTGGGCATGAAGGAATCTGTGGGGAGGGTTGGCTTGTTCTGGGCTGTGTGCTATGTAACGCTGAACATGAGGCGTAAAAAGGACTGCAGGGGCTAGGCACAGAGGCTCACACCTGTGATCCCAGCACTCAGGGAGGCCGAGGCAGGAGGATCCCTTGAGCTTAGGAGTTCAAGACCAGCCTGAGCAAGAGCAAGACCCTGTCTCTACTAAAAGTGGAAAAACTAGCCAGGTGTGGTGGCCAGTTCCTAGGGCCAGTTACTTGGGAGGCTGAGGCAGGAAGATGGCTTGAGCCCAAGAGTTTGAGGTTGCTGTGAGCTATGACACTACAGTACTCTACCTAGGGTGACAGAGTGAAACTGTGTCTAAAAAAGAAAAAAAAAAAAAAGAAAATACACTGCAATAAGTCAGAAAGCATCTATAATACATTTTTAAAAAGCACAAAGAGTGTAAAGTGGAAGAGAGTTTCTTCTGGAAAAGACATTTTGCTTCTGAAAACTAAATGATGATTTTTCAAATTTAGATTCTCAGCGACCCATATGCCTACCTTCAAAAGGAGATCAGCATGTCATATACATGGATTGCTGGGTGACAGGATGGGGGTACAGAAAATTAAGAGGTAAAAAATGATGTTTTTACATATGCTGCACCCTAAAAAGAGCAGAACCTTCTCTGCTCTGTCAAGTCATGTGGTAAAACGCAGTGACAGCGCAGCACCCACCTGCAGGAAGGATATCAACGGGGCTGGAAAGAGAGAACCACTCCAGGGAAGATGAAACCGCTGTGTATGACGGGGAGTGTTAAATACGGCCAACTCTCCTCAAAGACTACTTTTGCTTAGTGAAGTTGAATGTGGATCTCAGGACTTCTCGGTCAATGTTCTAGCCTGTTATCCAGTTACTTTGTCTGGAAAGTAATTCCGGTTAGAGCCATAATTAATTTTGAACTTAATTAACATTAACAAAATGGTGCCTGCAATAGTGGGCATAACATCATCTTTACACTTGTAAAAGATCTGAGAGGTTAGTTAACCTAACGTTTTTTCTTTCTGGATTTTTATAAAGGTATGAATTTGATTTTAAGCGGGTACATAAATATTTATCTACAGGGTGGACGTAAAGTTCGTGTGCAATTCACTATGTTAAACTATTTTAACTTTAAGTTCATGTGCAATTTAAAATAGTTTAACATAGTGAATTGCACACGAACTTTACGTCCACCCTGTGTATAATATATAGTTAATCGCTAACCAAAAACAAACTGTTTTTTAGACAAAATTCAAAACACTCTCCAGAAAGCCAAGGTACCCTTAATGACAAATGAGGACTGTCAGCTGCGATACAGAAGGCAGAAAATAACCAATAAGATGATCTGTGCCGGCTACAAGGAAGGTGGGAAGGATGCTTGTAAGGTAAGGCTTACAAGGCAACCCACTGAGCATATTCAAAGGTTTAATGCATTTTAAAAAGCAGCCTTCTGCCAACCAGTAAAGGACACAGTGCACTTATTTTACCTCTTCTGAAATCTGAAGTCAATTAGTCATTTTTGACTAAATGAAAAAAAGCAATCAGCTTCCACGAAGTGCAGCAAAGGGCCAGGGTAACATTTTAGGTGAAATCGTTCTGAGCACAATGCAGCTCAGATGGGAAGCGTCTCAACTGACCTGTGCGCCTTGCCTTTTCTCCCCTTGCCACAGGGAGACTCAGGGGGACCCCTGTCCTGCAAACACGACGAGGTCTGGCACTTGGTGGGCATCACCAGCTGGGGTGAAGGCTGCGCTCAAAGGGAACGGCCAGGTGTCTACACCAATGTGGTCGAGTTTGTGGACTGGATTTTGGAGAAAACTCAAGCAAGGTGAATGCCTTCCCAGAGACCACTGGGCTCCCTGAGGGGCGACCAGATTATTCCCCGAAAGAGGGTTCTGGGCTGAGGAAGGCACTGTGCCACTGTGCTTCCTCAGTGACAGGCTGAAGGGGCTGGGCATTGTGAGGAAACACCAAACCCAAACAAAGTTTCATTTTCAAAACTCCAGTCTGTGATAATCATGGTTTGTTTTCAGTGTCCAGTCTCTTGCTTTTGTGATCACTTTTTCTGAGCCCAAAAAACACTGTAAGGTGACGTCTTTGAAGACTGACATATGGACAGATATACCAGAAAAGAATCATATCGTGGCACCAAGGACCCATGAGAACTGCTAAAGGAAACCACTATGAAAATATTTGTTTGGGGAGGGGGGTGAGGGGAGTGAAGACAGGCATAAGGACAGTTGTCATCAGTCTCATGTCTGGGATTACAGATGTGAGCCACTGCACCTGGTCAATATGTCTTCTTCAGATCAGCTTGGGTAGACTAGAGAGAATGTGAATGGAGTGGATGGCAAGCAGCAGTTTTCCTGGAGGGAGTGGGTGCCTTACAGGGCCAGTCTTAAAGATGCCCTTGCCTAGAAAAACATGCAGTTTCCATATTTATTTGGAGTATTTTGGGGAGGAGGAGGCTGAAGGAGACAGGAAAGCAGGTTAACACTTCCCTAAGACAAGCAGAGGCTGTGAGGGTGGCTTTACAAAGAGTGAGATAATAAATGTATTCGACAAAAATCTATGTAAACTGCATCTATGCTACAGAGAAAACAACAATTAAACAAAAAAGTCCCCCTAAAGGCTGTAATCCCAGCACTCTGAGAGGCCGAGGCAGGAGGACCCCTTGACTCAGGAGTTGGAGACCAGCCTGAGCAAGAGTGAGACCCTGCCTCAACTAAAAATAGAAAAACTAGCTGAGTATGATGGTGGATGTGGTAGTCTCAGCTACTCAGGAGGCTGAGGCAGGAGGAGCCTGAGGTTGCTGTGAGCTATGACACGACAGCACTCTACCCAGACTGACAGAATGAGACTCTGTGTCAAAAAATTTTTTTAAAATAAAAATAAAATGGGTAGTTAGTGCTAAAGGAACAGATTGTTAACCTGATCTCATGCTATTTTTTACAAAGGGAGGAAAAGAAAAGATAAACCAGCCTGTAAATATTTTCAACATACTTCTCCGTTTCCCCACTAGATGGCACTGCTTCGCCGCTCTTTGGTCCATTATAAACATCACAGCAGATGGGCAGGACACAATTTGTAGTATGTTTAAACAAATCCTGTGTATACATAATATCTGAGAACATTAAATCAAATCAACCGCTTCCATTCAAATATGTTTGACTTTTCTAATATAATTGTTGTAAATATCTAGTCCCTACATGGCAGCTTGTCCTTGAAACCAGATGCTCCAGTGCTCCCCCAACCAGACTCTGGGGACTTTGCCTCCTGCACCCACACCTGTTTAGACCCCACCTCCTACATGTGCCTTGCTGAACACTGAACACAAGAACAGACCTCCCTCCCTCCCTAACTACTCAAATTATTATGATTACATTGTATTTTTAAAACATAAACATGACCCTTTGAATATCTAAGGCTTGCTGATAACAAAAAAGAAAGAAAAGAAGAGGGAAGGAAGGGAGGGAGGGAGGGAGGGGTGGAAGGAGGGAGGGAGGGAGGAGCCGGGCGTGGAGGCTCACACCTGTAACATCAGCAGTTTGGGAGGCCGAGGCGGGAGGAGCCCTTGACAGGGTGAGACTCTGTCTCTACATAGATAGATAGATAGATTGATTGATTGATTGATAAAAAAAGAAAAAGAAAAACAAGCCCTCTCCCCCAGCCTCCCCCCCACCCCCCACACTCTCAGAAAACACCTTGGGCAGAGGAAGCTCCCGCACAGAGGTTTCTCTGCGCCTCCCCGCGCTCCATGGCAGGGCCACTCGGCAAGCCGGGTCTGGCGGGCTAACTCGTGCTATTCTGAGACCATGACATGGTGAGTCTCCCAGGTGCAGGGCTTCGGCGGATGCTTGGTTGTCTGCTTCCTGTAACAGCCCGAGGTGCGAACACGTCCTGACTCGTGGACAAGTGCCTCATCAGTTGGTTAGCCGGTTAGGTCTTGGAGGAAAAAAAGAACCTGGAAAATTGGCGACTAGCAGACTGGGGAGGAAGACGCAGGGTGGTGGCTCTTGCGAGGGAGGGAGCAGGTGTGACGTGGTCATTGCTCCCGCCCGCGGCCGCCAGAGGGCGCAGTCATCCCGCAGACAGAACCTCCAGCTCTGGCCTCCTGCACTTGTTCCTAGGGTGAGTTCATGAACTTACTTGTCAGCCCTCATCTGTTTACATCTTCGCTGCTGCAGCCAAAGCTAAGACCCCATCACCTCTGTCCAACAGGCATCCCTGCTGCGCCTCTGCTCTCTTACAATTCACTTTCCACAAGGAAACAAAACTTCTCAATGTAGAAAGGGGATTGTGGACTCCCTACCTACATCCTTCTTGGTCTTTGATTTTTATCTAAATTCAGACTTACTGTAAGACACGAGTTTCTAAGTTACCTGGCTCTTTCAACCTCTCTCTCCCTCTCCTGCTTCCTCTTTCTGTCTCTCTGCCTCTCTCTTTCGCTCTCCGTCTCTCCCCACTTCCTCTCTCTCCCTCTCTCTCTATTTCCCTCTCTTTCTCTCTCTGTCTCTCCTCACTTCCTCTTTCTCTCCCTCTTCCCACTCCATCTCTCTCTCCCCTCATCATTAACCACAATCCTACCTCATCCACCATTCTCCCCACCCACCATTCTCCATTGCAATGGACTGAATGTATATGCCCCCCCTCCATTCATATATTGAAATCCTAACCCTCAAGGTGATGGATTAGGAGGTGGGGCCTTTTTGGAGATGCTTAAGTCCCCATGGGATTAGTCCCCGTATGAAAGAGATCCCAGAGATCTAGCCTAGCTGGTTCTTCCACCAAGCAAGGGCACAGTGAATAGACCCCATCTATGAGGAAATGATCCACTCTGTACACTGAATCTGCTGGTGCCTGGATCTGAGACTCCCAGCCTCCAGACTGTGTCTTGTTCATACCATCCAGTCCTTGGTATGTTCTCGCAGTAGTTCAGACAGGCTAAGACGTCCACCAACACACTTACCTCAGGAGGCTCTGACTTTTTTCTTTGTAGAAGGTGCCATCTTCAGCTCTTCTCTCTTTCTCCTTTTCTTTTCTTTCCTTTCCCTTTCCTTCCCTTTCTTTCAACAGAATCTCACTCTGTCACCCTGGTTAGAGTGCTGTAGTGTCATAGCTCACAGCAACCTCAAACTCCTGGGCTCAAGTGATCCTCCTGCCTCAGCCTCCTGAGTAGCTGGGGCTACAGGCACCCACTACCATGCCTGACTGGTTTTTCTATTTTTAGGAGAGACGAGGTCTCACTCTTGCTCAGGCGGTCTCAAACTCCTGAGCTTGAGCCTCAGCCTTCCAGAGTGCTGAAATTACAGGCACCGGTCACCATGCCTGCTGTCTTTCTTAATTTTTTAGGTCTCAGTTTGACTGCCACAGCAGTAGAGAATTCTTTCTCATCCACATTAATTAAATTAGGCCCTGCCCTCAGCCGTTACTCAAATACCCTTTTGACGTCCTTATGACAATTTAAAAGGATCTTAATTGCTTTCTGTTTCTATCATCCCATCTAACTAGAAATTATGCTAGTTTCTAAAACAGTTTTCAGTAACTATTTGTTAAAGAAATGAAAACAAGAATGAGTAAATGAATTTGAAGAGAGCCCTGGGTTTCTTGCTAATTAGCATAAACACATTTTTGTAAAACCAGAACAACATAACATTTTAATTCACAATATTTTTTCTGTTTTCCCATGACTGTTACTGGAACATCAGCTTTCTGTGTAATTTTTTCCCAACAGAAAATAATTGGCCTGAAAGATCTGTCCGCAGGAATAGATATCTGTCATAAATGAAAGCATTACCACTCATACTGCAAAAAAACAGCTAATAGATTCTTCTTTCTCTAAAGGGACACTGTTAAAGGTCAACCAAATGTTGAGATTTAGTTCATCCTTTAAGAAGATGCTGCTTAAAGCTTGCTTTGAAATGCTTTGCAACAAGGTAGAATGCAGCTGTGCCCTCTCTATAGAGGAACCTGAAGGTAACACCCAAGAGAATCTTTGCAGTTCTTGAAAGAGATTTGGACCACCCTGGAAGTCCCATCCCATTCTTAATGAGTCATCCCATAGTGTGGCGAGGGTGGATCAATTTGTGGAACATTGCCATCTTAAGTCTCCTGATCCATGAGTGTACAGAATCTTTCCATTTATTTGGCTTTTTAATTTGTTTTGTATGTTTTAGTCTGTGAATCTTGTACTTGTTTTGTTCCATGTATGCTAGATTTTTTATTCTTTTTTAATGCTATTATTATAAATGGAATTGTTTTCTTAATTTCATTTTTGCATTATTCACTGCTAGTGTGTAGAAACCATTGATTCTTGTGTATTGATCTTGTAGCCTGTCTCAGGCTGAACTAGTATATTAGCTCTCACAGGTTCTTTATGGATTATTTATTTTTTAAAAAAATATGTATGATCATGTCACCTGTGAATAGAGATAATTTAAATTCTCCCTTTCTGACCTAGATGCCATTTTATTTTTCTTTTAGAATTTTCCTGGCTACAACATCTAGTCCCATGTGGAATGGAAGTGGCTGGACCCCACGCTCTTGATCTCAGGAGGAAGCATTTCTTCTTGTTAGTTGTGAGTTTGTTGTACTTGCTTCTTAAGGTCGTGGAAGTTTCTTCCTGTGTCTAATTTGTGAAGATCTTGATCAAGTTGAGGAAGTTTCCTCCTGTGTATAATTTGTTAAGCATTTTTATCATGAAAAGGTTTTGGATTTTGTCGGCTTTTTTTTTTTTTTTATTTCAGATTGATATGAGGGTACAAATGTTTAGGTTACATTGTTTTCAATTCTAAAAAAGTTGAAGTTGTAGTTGAGCCCTTCACCTGGGGGGCTGTGCTGAACACCCTCACACTGTCCACATTAGGTGAGATCCCGCCAGTCACCCTCCCTTCTCTCCCCTCTTTCCCTCAATAGATTATACTTGTGTTTTTCATGTAGGCATCTAGTTGTTTTATATATATATATATATATATATATATGTGTGTGTGTGTATACACACACACATATATATGTGGGGTTAGGGTTAGGGTTTATGTATATGTTGGTTTCATATTAGTATTGGATACTTTTTTTCCATTCTGGTGATACTTGACTAAGAAGAATCTGTTTCAGCTTCATCCAGGTAACACAGTCTGGCTGTTTTTTTCTGCATTTATTGTGATGATCACCAGGATTTGTCCTTTATTCTGTTAATCTGATATATTACACTGATTGAATTTTGGATATTAACTGGTCCTGTGTTACTATAATAAGTTCTACTTGGCCATGGTATATTAATTTTTTCTGTGTTGCTAAATTAAATTTGCTTATATTTTGTTGAGAATTCTTTAGTCTATAAGGGATATCAGTGTGTGTGTTACTTATGGTGTCTTTGGTTTTGCTATTTCATGATAGTAGATTTATAGAATGAATTGGGAAGAGTTCTTTCTTATTCTATGTTTTAGATGAATTTTAGAAGACTTGATATTTTCTTTTCTTTCTTATTTATTTTATTAATTTATTGAGCAGAGTCTCACTCTGTCACCCTGGCTAGAGTGCCATGTCCTCAGCCTAGCTGACAG